GAAAGGAAACACATGAGCTGGAAGAGGAGATTACTTGTGAAACTGCAGTAATTCCCCCCCCCCCCTCCCGCAGCATTTCTTAAAGGAGTTACTGTCTCTGATCCTTCCTGTGAAACTGTGACAATTCTGACCACATTTTACAATTTGTCATTCAACGTGATTTTGAAAAATGATAAAGAAGATAAGCCAAAACTGTCACAGCTGACAAAACCAGACTGCACAACATTAATAACAGCACCCCATAAATTATTTTTAATAGGCAAACAGCATTAAAGGCAGGAATGGTCAGAGTGAACCACATGCCATGGATTGTGGTTTTTATGGTATGCTTTTGTTTTGGGTCCCTGAAAATGTTTTGCCAAAAAAGGAGTGACAGCCACAAGCCATGAGAGTAAAGACAAAGATCCACCCAGAGGAAAAGTGTTCTTACCATACATCAAGGGAACCACTGGCCGCATAGGGAAGCTGATGAAGAAACACAACCTACGAACTGTCTACAGACTCAGGATGGCTTACAGCAAAACAAACAAATACAATAACACAATAATCACATATCAATTAATAAAACAATATAGAACAATACTGTGAACATAAATAAACAGTTTAAAAGATGATGAGACCTTCTAAACCCAGTATGTAACGCCGTTTTAGTAAGCAAGATCTGTCCAGTTTAATCTGATAAAATGTTCTCCTAGTCATCTCCACCATCATCTGATCCTGTAGCCCCATGTCCAAGAGTATATTTGAAGATGTATTTAGTGTTTGGGGGTTCATGCTCCCATCCAAAGTGTTAGATTTCCTTACCTACAGTAACTCTTTTCTTGTCTGGATTAAGTTTGAATTTGATCAATTTTGGATCCATTATGAGAATAGGGGTGTTATCACCATCTTACGTCTTTTTTTTTTTCATTTTGGAACTCAAAGTAGGTTACAAAAGTTAAAGCAGTTACAGTTTTAAAAATCACTTCATAGAAATAATACAATAAAATCTATATTTAAAAATGTAATGTTTGTTTATGGGATTTATATAACTCAAAAACCACTGGACGAATTGACACCAAATTTGCACACAATATACATATCAGGCCAACGAGTGACCATCACTCATAAAAACACTGAAAAACACAGCAGAAGAGACTTAAAAAGCCATTTAAAAATACATTACAACGCATGTGCAAAACCACATATATATACCCAAACACGCACATATACACACAAAACACATATGCACAGTCTGGGCCACAGCAAGACGTGGTAGGAGATGGCTAGTTATTAATAAAATGAAAAGCATATGTAATGAATGTATAACCATTAAAAGAAGAACAAGTATAAGCAACACAGTAGATAGAGAAATGCTCCTTTCCCCAACAGTTACCCCTCTCAATCTTCCCAAAACAAAACGTTAAACAAAATTAAAATACTACGCAAGCTTATCAAATTATCCTGAATAAACATTACAATGATTCATTTGGAAATAAACACCCAAATCCATATGTTTTTAGAGTTGCTTTGGAACTCTTGAATTTCAACATTTTCAAACATTCAACAGAGAATACTGAAAAGTAAGACTGCTGCATCAATAAATTGACATCTGCTAGAATGGGAGTGAGAAAAGAGATTAGGTTTTGACAGTATATTTCACTTGTTTATTGCAAGTTGAGTGAGCTTATCCTTTCCAGAGGATTGAGCACTGACATGGAGAAGCAAGCGTTTTCTGCAAGATTCCATATAAAATGGACAAAGTATACCAAGTATCTACAAACTAGGAAGGAAGGAGCAACTGTGACAATTTAGACATTAGATTGGGATTCCTATTATCACTTGCTGCTGGCTTTTCTGGCTCATCCTGATATAAGCTCTACTCCAACCACATTTGATGGGCTACATTGCCTGTTCCAGGGATCGGAAGTAGTATCCAGTAGTAAGGAGTTGTGATGTCACTATAGCCCTGGACAGTTATAAGTATCATAGGTGCCATAGCTGCTTTTGGCTTCGCTTCTGTGATATCAGAGCTAAGGCAGTGGGTGAAAGACGATTGCCCGAATGAAAGTGTGTTCCTTTCTGCACTGTGCCACCCAAAAACCGGGTCCAGCAGGCCAATGGTGGTCTGTTCTTACCAATTCTTACCAATTTAAGCATTAAAATATAGAACTCTTCCAGTCTCAGGGGATATTATGTATAAGTTGTTACAGTCCATAAGTAACACAGGATGTTTCAAAAAGATGGATGTGATTTTTAATTGCTGTATCTCTGCAACCACAAACTTGCCACTTGAAAAGGTGGAGTGTGAGATTTCAAAAGATTACCGCTAGATGCTTCTCCTAGTGTACAAACAGACCCTCACAACATTCATTCACAAGATGTAACTCCACAACATAAGATTCAATGATATTTTCTCCATTTGCAGAGGGTTTTTTAAAATTTGTTTCTGGCTCAGAATGGTTCGAAAAACCATTTTTGACTTTGTGCGTAATTGCAACGTGTTGCCGTTGTGAAATGTACTGCTTTAGAACTGGGTTCATCATTTTGAAATGCCCTGTATCATCAAAAATCCACACCACGAAAGTAAAAAAGTGTAGGAAGTACTAGCATGTAGGAAGTACTAGGAAGTACTAGCATGTAGTTCTGAGTGAACTACAACCAGGGGCGGCTCAACCCACTACGCAAAACCTCACACCTCTGAGGATGCTTGCCATAGATGCAGGCGAAACGTCAGGAGAAATGCCTCTAGAACATGGCTCTATAGCCCGAAAAAACCCACAAGAACCTAGCATGTAAATTGTTTGCAGCCTATACTGGATTATCTTTTATGCACTCTCCATATCTCATTGTGGGAGGAGCCCCCAGTGGCGCAGTGGGTTGAACCCTTGTGCCAACAGGACTGCTAACCAACAGGCCAGCGGTTCGAATCCGGGGAGAGCGAGTTGAGCTCCCTCTGTCAGCTCCAGCTCCCCATGCGGGGACATGAGAGAAGCCTTCCACAACGATGGTAAAATATCAAACATCCGGGTGTCCCCTGGACAATGTCCTTGCAAACAGCCAATTCTCTCACACCAGAAATAACTTGTAGTTTCTCAAGTTTCTCCTGACATGAAAAAAAATCTCATTCTGGAACAATACTTAAAGCCCACAGCAATAATAGAGAGCCTACAGATTGGGGCTGATATTCAGCCTCTTTTCCAGTACTCACAAGACATTCTTGCAGCTAAAATCAGGAATGACATGTTCCCTATTTTTCTGTGAAAAGAGCCAATACTTCCTTGCCATATTTATTTCATATCAGGGGATATAAACTGTGGTGGGTCTGAAATTCAGTGTTTTGCCCCTGTGAGCCACAGAAGGCTACACAGTCTTCCAAATATGGCAAATCGCGGGGGGGAGGGGGGGAACAAAATCAGAATTGAGCGGATGTACATTTCTATTTTTTAAGTGAATTCATTGATTTGCATATAAAGCCTTATTGCGGGAGGGAGTACCAACCTATTTCAAAGGTGGATTGTGATTCCGACAAATTTCCAAATGAGGCAATTCACAGTTTCTGAACCAGAGACAGGTTGATCCAAGGAGTTTAGAGTTGACTCTTTGTCTGCCTGTATTTTAAAGATCAAATAATTGTCTTTACAAAAATGAAAGATGCTTGGACAATGTCTTATTCATATTCTCAGTATATTGAATCAAATGAACTGGAAGAAAAAAATTGGGCCATGACTATTATTGAATTTAACAATGTTTTTTTTTTACTCTTATTGGAATCAACATAAATGTTCGCAAAAGGGGCCAGCAGCAATATCCTTGGGAGGAATGAGACATTTTTTTATATGAAGGGGCTTTTGGTAGGGCTGAAGACTACAGCAGGGATGGGCAGTTATGGCCTTCCAGATGTTGATCTGCAATGCTTAGCAGTTTGAACCAGCATATTGTCAGTGATGAGGGATAGTGGGAGTTTCAGTTGAATAGCAACTCCTTCCCCATACAAAGCAGTGCAGTAGACTAATTCTTGTCTCCTTTATGGGGTGTTTGCTAAGGTAAGTGAGATAGTGTACATAAAGGCCTATCCAGTAGAGTCTTGCTTATCCAACATAAACGGGTCAGCTGAACGCTGGATAAGCAAAAATGTTGGATAATAAGGAGGGATTAAGGAAAAGCCTATCAAACGTCAAATTACATTATGAACTTTTACAAATTAAACGCCAAAACATCATGTTTTACAACACACTGACAGAAAAAGCAGTTCAATGCACGGTAATGTTATGTAATAATTACTGTATTTATAAATTTAGCACCAAAACATTGCAATGTATTGAAACAGCTGTGGATCCGGGCAGGAGGCAGACTGTGTTGGATAATACAGAATGTTGGATGAGCGAAGGTTGGATACGTGAGACTCTATATATGATGATGAGGATGATTTATAACAAAAGTGACTAGGAAGGCACTGTATTGTGACAGTAAATTCTTTTTTCCTTCCTTTTCACACTCAGCCGTCATATATAGCATCCAGAAATTAATAAGTTATCCTTGTATCAGTCGCTGTCATTTACCGACCACTATAATTAATTGGAATGTGAGATACTGAAATGTTTGTTCATAAGTGAGTTCAGAAATGATCCTGCTGAAATGGCCCAGTGGTCGGCCTGCACTGTTGCTCACAGTGGGTGAAAATTAACTTTTCAACATTTTCAATCTTAATGTAGAAAAACAGCCCCTAAACAGAGGGTGCCAAGGCTTAAGCCTACATTCTGTCGCATGTTCAAACATATGTTTGTTCCTGAGCGAGAGATACTCCAGGTCCTCCCCCAGTCACTGTACAGGAAGATATCCTTGAGCATGAAGAATTCAGATTCTAACTGTGAAGCTTGAGTCTCCCACGCAAAAGGGAAGAGATAATTCTTCTTGATGACAAGCAAAAGGGAATCTGCCTTCTTTAAAAGACAGTGTGCCGATGAGGCATTTGTTTAAACCCTGGCATCTAAGCAAAATGCCACGTCGTGTTTCCTTAGGTTCTCAACAGGAGGTGTGTAGAAGCAGCCATAGTGACGGGCCTCGCGCTGAACTGCACCATAAACAAGAAGTCCTTGTTTGATAGGAAGCACTATTTCTATGCAGATCTGCCTGTGAGTATGTATCAAGCTTTGTTCCTTAGCAAATCGGAAGAGGGGCAAGCTTGAAGAACGGATGGGAAAACAGGCTGGGAGAAAAGATGTTTTTTGTTCTCTGCTATTGTTTTGCCCGTCCAAGCTGGATGAGGCATGGTGTCCTGATGAATAGACGTCTGTAGTCCGGCTCTTGCTGATTGAAGGTGATTGTCCTGATTGCTGACTCCAGCGCTGTGCCTCATGTTTCCAGTGTCTCTCAGTAATTGAATTGGGAGAAGGTACAGCGAGGGCCAGACTTCCTCTGTTCCCAACTAATTGTCTGATGGGGTTGAGACAAAATTGCCTGCTATTGATCTCTTGAAATTAATGTTTTACAAACACATACACACGGGCATCACGTCCATTTACTCTGGTTATTTCTAGGGACCCAAAGAGTTCTTCAAAGCCACTAATCTCTAAAGTGAAAAGGTACAGTAGTTGATTTTCAGCTTCCATTCCTGGGTGTTACAAATTATGTTTACATTAGGACCAGACCTCCTTTGCAATCAGTACATTTGACAAAGTGAAGTCCATTCAAATCCATTACAAAGTCAGGTTTTATTATTTTAAATAAGAAGTCTTCATTTCTATTTGAAACCATAATTGAATTGCTAAAGATACTAAAAGCTTTTTAAAAATAACCAAGATTAAAGCTACGCACCAGATGTGGACCAAAATGTCTTCAAAAGCCAGTTTAACTCAACACTCCTAAGAAGTGTTGTATGTTTCTACTGCTTCTGTATATCCCATTTCCTTCTAAAAGATCAGAAGCATCTTATAATCTTATTAAAATCTTATGCAGTAAAACTTAGTTGGAAATAACACATTAGAAAGAACAATGCTAGCTGTAACATATTAATTTGAGGTGAAACAAAAGTATAAAGATGCTAATTTAGGTTTTCTCGAGCTGTAGCTCTAGAAATATGGGCTAATCATGTGAGTAGGACCAAGAGGGTGTTAATCATGAAGAGTAGGGTAAGGTCCAAGTAAACCCTGGGTAATTTATTGAGTTAGATATAGACAATCAGCCCATATTAGATCCCATAAGGGACTTCATTGAGTCCTTGAATAATTTAGTCCTTAAAGGCAGCTAGACATCAGATAAAATGACAACAGTTTTGGACAAACTTAAGATGGAATCAAGAGACCAACAGCTTTTTTATAGACGATGGAAGAAACCTCTAACTCAGTGATTCTCAATCTGTGGGTCCCCAGATGTTTTGGCCTTCAACTCCCAGAAATCCTAACAGCTGGTAAACTGGCTGGGATTTCTGGGAGTTGTAGGACTAAACACCTGGGGACCCACAGGTTGAGAACCACTACTCTAACTGGTTCCTGTCCACATGAATAAGTTAAAACAAATAGGCCCTGCTCTCGGACCCACCCCCATCTCAAGTATGGTTGGTGGGAATGAGAGATAGAGCCTTCTCCGTAATTGCTCCCCGACCTCTGGAACTCCCTCCCTAAAGAAATAAAGATGGCCCCTTCCCTTCTCTCCTTCAAAAAACAACTAAAAACTTACTTTTGTTCATTAGCATATGGAGAGTAGGAGGATTAGATGATGAGAGACTGCTACCAGACCTCGGATTGAAATTATTATTGTATTCGGGCTTCATTAGACCATGTTAGCCCAGTAAACATCACCTGTCATAAAACCAGCCCACATATCTGAATGAACTTTTATTGGCTCTTGTAAAAGTAATGTGGATGTTTGATGATTTATATTTAGGTTTTATGTTAGATATAATTTTTAGCAAAGTTACTTTTAATTTAATGTATACATGTTGTTTTATGTGTTATTTCACAAGTAGGGGTATTTTGGGATATTATGTCTCCATTTGTTATTTACTGAGGTATTGAATGTTTGCCTTTTTTGTTTGTTGGAATCTGCCCTGTATCGCCTCAGGGATATAGGGTGAAATATAGTTTATTATTATTATTATTATTATTATTATTATTATTATTATTATTATTATTATTATTATTATATTAAATACAGGAAAAGTCATGCTTTTGAAAAATATAAAGAGATATACAGAACAAAAGAGAAAGCATTATGCATTATAATCAATCATTGCCAGATGTCCAGGTGATTTTATAACCTGGTAATTTATTTAGAGGGGTGACACTTTGGATGAGACCATGTTTCCCATCAAAGCTTTAGGTTCGCCACTATAAACACTCAAACTATCAGATACTGCCCTGATAGTCAAAAAGGCAATTTATCTGGAATTTTAAAGTTTTCCTTAGTGCGACTTGTTTTTGCTTCAGTTAGGGTTGAAGGCATGCTGAGACCTGAATCCTATTGATTGCCTCTGCCTGGAATAATCCACACAAGTGCTGATTGAGGGTCTGCTCCAGTGAGGATTGTTGATAGGATTCACGCCTGAGTCACAGGCTTCAGATAAAACAAAGGTGGCTAGCCTAGCGTGTTTACATCAGTATCATAGTTGCCATGAAATTCTCGCCCATAGAGATCCTGGATTAGACAGGGTAATGCTAAGAAAATACAAGTTACATGTATACATCAAAGCTGAGCTTCTTAGTAACATTTGCTCATGTTTCATCCCAGAATAGTGGAACTGCTAAGCCATTCACTTAGGTCTGGAGTCTTCCTCTAAGACTTCATTTCAGCAGGGGCTCATGATAATTAATCCCCTGAACCCATTTGCAGTGTCAAGGCTCAGCCAAGTGAAAAACTAATAAAGGAGTATACCATAACAAAGTCATATCTACCATGATTTGTCAGGCCTAAAGAAAAAATTATTAAAAAGCGATATGATAGACATCTTTAAATATTTGAAGAGCTGACACACAAATGATGAAGCAAATATATTTGTTGTTGGTAAGACTCGAACCAATAGATGCAAATTACGAGGGTTATCCGGAAAGTGAGGTTACAAGATTTTTTTAAAAAATTCAAAGAATGAATATATTTTAATAAAACTTACATGGATTGTAGCATAGGTATTACAATATTTTTCCACATAATCACCATTCAGTTCAATACATTTTGTCATCTGTGGGATGTGTTTTTGATACCTGTCTCATAGAAGTTTCCCTCTGCCTTTTTCAGCCAGTTTGTTGCTTTGATTTTCACCTCGTAGTCGTCAGAAAAGTTTTTTCCACCAAGGTGTTCCTCCAATTTAGTGGACACTGGGTGCAAGATCGGGGCTGTGAGGTGGGTGGCTTAAAAGATCCCAACAAAATGAAGTCAACAACTCTTGTGTTGCATGAGCGGTGTGAGGATGCGCATTGTCTTGAAGGAGACAGACTCCTGCCATCAGCATCCCATGACGTTTGTTTTGGATGGCTCTGTGAAATTTCTTCATGGTGCTGTCTTGACATTATGCCCTCTCCATAAACTGAACCAATTTTGTGATGAATTGCAGCGGCATTCATGCCCTTAGCATTTAGGTAGCGTATTACAATGCGAACTTCGCACTTGGAGAGAAAGGGACGCTCATCTCTGACCTTCACCACAACACCAGTCGATGAGCTACTGACGACTGGCACTGCTCGCTCAGTTCTCTGGCTTCCTGCCACATGACAGTGATATCAACTTTCCCTGAGAAAATTCCCCATGTGACCTATGTGCCTTGTAACCTTACTTTCCAGATAACCCTTGTACTATTTATTTATTTATTTATTTATTTATTTATTATATTTAATCCCACTCTTCTCCAACCCTAAGGCGACTAAGGCAGTTTACAGATTGGCAGCCATCCGATGCCATAACAGTCCACAATATATAGTTAAAACATTTAAAACAACATTATAAAACAACATAAAACCCATTAAAAACATATAGTAACCAATGTCTTCCTATTAATCTCATTTTCCAGTAGCATCGACTAGGCCGTTCCATGTTTCAAACTTATATAATCCCGCATATGTCTGTTGCACTGTATTTCCAAAAGCTTGTTCAAAGAACCAGGTTTTTACTTTTTTTCAGAAGGTCAGAAGGGAAGGGGCCAATCTAATATCCCTACGAAGGGAGTTCCACAGCCAAGGGGCCACCACTGAGAAGGCCCTGTCTCTTGTCCCTGCCAGACGCTCCTGTGAAGAAGGTGGGATCGAGAGCAGGGCCCCCCTAGACAATCTTAAATTCCTAGATGATTCGTAGGGAGAGATATGTTCGGACAGGTAATCTGGGTTGGAACCATTCAGGGCTTTATAGGCTAAAGCCAGGGGAATTATTGCTAAACATGAGGTGATATCAGCTGTTTGACAGTGGAACAAATTGTCTCAGAAGGTGGCTAATTCTTTTTCATAAGGAGTTTAAAGGCAAAGGCAAGAGGAACATCTATTGAGGGTGTTTTCTTTATTGGAAGAGCATTGGACCAGATGGCCTTCCAACTCTGTGATTCTAAATGAATGCAGTCTAAACGTTTCCCCCTTTCTCATGGAGTATGTACAAAATGTCCAGTTTCTTTATTAGGGAAATATAATGGCTTCACCGCCTCCTTACACTAATGCAGGATAGAGGCTATTTCCAGGGGAGAGTCTGTGTTTAATTCTTCTACTAACCACTTTTGTCCTGCCTTTGTGAGTCATTTCTCCCTATGTAGTTCCCTCATAATATGCGGAGCTGCCCTGTGCTGCATTATTGTAAGAACCTATAATGAGATGCCTAGTTTAGACAAGATAAATGTGAGTTTAGGGATCTTTGGATGGTTTAATATGAAAAACAGAGCTTCAGATAGAAAATGGAATTCGTGTTGCTTACTGTTCCTCATCGGAGTTTTTTTTTTTTAAAAGCAAGCAATCATTTCAACATGGAATGACAAAGGAGACGTCTAAGTAGAAAGATTACACCAAACTTATTGTGTGCATCATGTGAATCCATTATTAATAATTGCTAAAAGGAAAGGGCCATCTGTTGGGAAAGGAAACGATAAGTGTGGGTTTTTAAGTAGTTGATTATAGCTGATGGTTAAACTTCTAAATGCAGACTGGCTACCAGATCACCCAACAGAGGCTGCCCATTGCTGTGAATGGAACATTGTCGTACAGCTTGTGTGTAGGGAAGAACCAGAATGAAGTGATAACCAAGACCGTGAGGATCAAGCAGATACAGTTGGAGCAAGATAGTGGAAAGAGCCTTCATGATGATTTAAGAAGCCAGACGCTGATTGATTTGAACAGAGCAGGTAGATTTGGAAAAATTTCTGGTCCATGTATTTGTATCATATTTAAATAAACAAATATGTTTCCTGCAACTCCTGAGTACGTTGCTGGGCAGTGATTTTCAAGAGTTTGTCCTGATTGAGGGTTCAAGATAAATTGAACTGATCTACATGTTTGGCAGCTTCCAGGAGGCTGGAGAGCCTGATTGCCAATTCTGTTCTTCATTTGCCATTTTCTTCAGAGGTAGATTGGTGATTGGTTCTTCACATATATGCATGCCAGGTGTTTACAATTTAGCCAGGTTTCCTAGATAAATGGACTTGTTTATGTCCTGCCTGTCCACTAAAAAGATAGTGCTTTATACTACCTAACAAACCATTATTAAAAACAAATTAGACAATAAAACCATTTAATGATGTGATTTGTTAAAACTATGAAAACATCACAATAAAAGACCAGTTTCAAGATATGACCATTGCATTGGCAAAGGCTTTCATGGCTGGAATCGTTGTGTTGCTGTGATTTTTCTGAGCTGTATGGCCATGTTCCAGAAGCATTCCCTCCTGAGGTTTCATCCATATCTATGGCAGGCATCCTCAGAAGTTGTAAAATCTTTTGGAAACTGGGAAATTTGGATTTATATATCTGTGGAACGTCCAGGGTGGGCAAAAGAACTCTTGTCTCTTTGAGGTAGGTGTGAATGTTTCAATTGGCCACCTCGATTAGCATTTAATAGCCTAGCAGTTTCAAGATCTGACTTCTTACAGTCTGGGGGAATCCTTCCTGATAGTTTCTTGTCTGGAATTCCACTGTTTTTGACTGTTGTTCTTTATTTACCATTATGATGTTAGAGTTTTTTTAAAATACTAATAGCCAGATTTTGTTAAATTTCATAGTTTCTTCCTTTCTGAGCACTTGATGAACCAACCTGGACACAGCACATTATTTGAGAACACAGAAATGCTGGACCACTCTAACAATTACCATATCAGACTACACAGAGAAGCCATTGAAATCCACAAGCATGTGAACAATTTCAACTGAAAGGAAGAAACCATAAAAATAAACAAAATTTGGCTACCAGTATTAAAAAAAACCTCTAAAATCATAACAGTAAATAAAGAACAACACTTAAAAACAGGACAATTCCAGATAAGAAACAATCAGGGCCAGCTAATAACCTTCCAACAAATAATTCCCCCAGGCTGTAAGAAGCCAAACCTTGAAACTGCTAGGCCATTAAATGCTAATCAAGGTGGCCAATTGAAAGATTCACACCTACCCCAAACAGACAAGAGTTGTTTCTCCTTCCCTGGACATTCCACAGATCTATAAACCCAATTTTCCTATTTTCCCAACCTCTGAGGATGCCTGCCATAGATGCAGGTGAAACGTCAGGAGAGAATGCTTCTGGAACATGGCCATACAGCCCGGAAAACTCACAACAACCCAATGACTATTCATATCTACCGACTTGGTTACAACTCTGTGGGGGACAGTCCAGGAAAACGCCCTCCTATGTGCCTGTGACATAGTCCTTCATGGCAATAATATTCTCTTCCGGCAATTTTTGAGATCTGGACAAGTTTATAACAAAACAAGCAATTTCTTAGGCAGCCAGATCCCAAGCCTGATTGCTTTCAGAAGACTGTTTTAGCCAAGAATTGAACTGAAATGTGCAAGTGGCAGCAAAAAAAAATGTATTTAGCCTGTGGCCCACTTTGGCCTACATAAACAGTGGAGAACTATTGGCCTTCCAGTGTTTTTCACTATAACTTCTGTGATCCCCAACCACTGGTTGTGCTGAGTGGTTTTATGTGAGCGGTGAACCAATATATCCCGAAAGCCAAACTTCTTTCACCCCAGGTGCAGATGCTAAACATAAAATCTCTGCTGTAGTATTAATGTGTGTGTAGCATCTCAAGTGAGGAAAAGCTTCCGGATGAACAAGCAGAAGAGTCACTGAGGAAAAATTAAGTACCTGTTGGTCTCTGCTGCTTTCTAACATCCAGAGTTGTTTCTGTCCCACTTTTGATACTCAACACACAGGTCAGCCCACAATAATGACTTTTGAGCAAACTGCCATGCCTAGAAGAACATCATTAGATATAACTTCCTTCTTGACAATAGGGAGATATGCGTTTCTACGTGACTGTTTTGCAGATATGATCATTTTGACAGTGATTTCCTAATAATAAATGGTCTCCAAGTTTTCCTCACACAGAGACTGGGCACTTTCGTGCATGCTAAAATTTTATGTCAGGATTTTTATGTTGAGATCAAAACCTGCTGTTGGAAAACCTTTTGCCTCATGCCTTCTGTCTCTGATAGGAGTTGGCCTCATGGAGGTTGTCATGGAGCCTGATATGTGCAACGGGGAAGAAGCTGCAGCGGCCGTGAGAGAGCTCCAGCTTATCCTGCAGACTCTCGGGAGCAGTCAAGCAAACATGGCAGGTAGAGGATTCGAAGGGCATGTTTATCCTTCCCCGGTGGTAATTTTCTCACAAAGACACTTTCACACCATCAGGCTTTACTTTGCCTTGCAGCTGCTTATCATTCAGGGTTGAAGTGGTGCCGTTTCATTTTGGATTGTTTTATTTTCCCCTTTGTAAACCCTTTCCCTTTGTCTGAATAAGGCCACTTGTGCCTCAGGTGTCTTAGAGGGAGCCAGCTGTGTCTTCAACTCAAATTCTTCTGTGCTGCTAGGCCTTTTTGAATTTTATATGATAAATCTTAGTTGGAAGGAGATGACAGAAAGATTGTGTTCTGTTTTCCCCATATGTCTGTCTGCTTGCCTTCTTTCCATATTATTGTGATGTGGATTCTTTGGAATAATAGAAAAGGTAGCATTTCAAATAAAAACAACCTGTCTGTGGGTTTACCTTAGATTTCTGCCAGTAATCCTGGGACTCTTGCAAGTTAAAATGGTTTGGGCTTAAGTTGAAGGTGAACATTCACCATCAAACTTGTTATTATTCTTGATGCATTATGTGTATATGTCTTTGTGTTAAAGGTAAAGGTTTCCCCTGACATTAAGTCTAGTCGTATCTGACTCTGGGGAGTGGTGCTCATTCCATTTCTAAGCTGAAGAGCTGGCGTCATCCATAGACAGCTCCAAGGTTACGTGGCCAGCATGACTGCGTGGAGCAGTGTTACCTTACAGCAGAAGCGGTACCTACTGCTCTACTCACATTTGTATGTTTTCGAACTACTAGGTTGTCAGAAGCTGGGCCTAGCAGCAAGAGTTCACCCTGGTCCCCAGATTTGAACTGCCGACCTTTGGGTCAGCAAATTCAGCAGCTCAGCGGTTTAACCCACTGCGTCACCAGAGAGCCCATCTTTGTGTTACTTGTCTAATAATATGTATCAAATTCATATAGTACTTCAGCATAATCTTGATGTTCTGCAAACTCCTGTAATATAATGTAGTAATGAATATTCATGTTTCTCCTCAATTTGATCATCAACCATTCTGTTATTATGGACTCATAGAGCTGTAGCATTAGAAGGTATACCAGAGTATCACTGGTCCATCCTTTATCAGATATATTGGCTCTCTTCTCTTTCCATTATATCCTTGCCTTACACCCACACCATTTGCAGAAGCAATAATAATTACAGTAGTGTCTTGCTTATCCACCAGAAACAGGCTGGCAGAGCGTTGGATAAGTGAAAATGTTGGATAATAAGGAGGGATTAAGGAAAAGCCTATTAAATGTTAAATTACGTTATGCTTTTACAAATTAAGCATCAAAACATCATGTTTTACAACAAATCGTCAGAAAAAGCAGTTCAATACACAGTAACATTATGTAGTAATTACTGTATTTAAGAACTCCCACAATATCTGCTTTGATCTGGGTTATTGGGTCCACATTCAGATAATATGGGATTTTCTGCCTTTATATTCTGGGATATAGGGCTGTGTGGAAGGGCCCTCTGTTTCAATAAATCAGCTCTAGGTGGGACTAAATTAGATTCAGCCCCATGAAGGAGGTTCTGGACAGACTTGTTGCAATGGCAAACAATCATGGCTTAGAATGGATCAAAAGGTGAAGACTATTAAGCTGCCAGCTGCTTTTGAATTTTTTTTTTTTACACGGAGAAGCTTCAAACAGCATTATCCTTCTTTCTCATGGTTATTTTGCTCATCTTCTGTAGTAGATTCATGTAAAACCTGACCAGAGGCCTGCAACTTGTGATATACTCTCAGTGTATTGCTATTTCCCATGGCTGAGCTTTGGCTGCAAGCCTCATGACTTTAAAGTATTTTCTCTGCCATGCATCAAATTCAGCCATGCTCATTTTTCAAGTGGCTGCATTTGGGGGTATTTTATCTTTGGCTGTTCTGTTATCTGAGCAGATTTCCACTGGTGATGTACTTGCCCCTTGTGGTTGCCTATCATTTATGTGTCTGGAGAGAAAGGTTGAATTTGACATCCACCCCTTGTAGTAGGAAGTGCCTGCAGTGCACTAAAACCAGGGCCATGACTTCATTGCAAGGTAATCAGAAGAGATGATGATAAAGTGAAGAAAATGTAACTCACGCCCTACCTTTAGCCTTATGAGAGGCTCTGATGGTAGAATCAGCATGTGGCCACTACCCACAAATCTGGGGTCTACATAAAAGGATGGCAAAGGCATCTGTTGCCAATAGGCTATCGGGAGTTCATCTGTGGACAGAGAACTGAAAAGTCAGACATTCCTTAATGCCTGTCTAGTCCATAAACAACACTGAAATAAAGGATAAATCAGAGCAATGGCAGAGTTCTGCCACCTGCCTGGATTTTGAGATATTCAGTAGACACTCTGCTGCATATTACATCACTCTGAAAGGTTAGGTTGCTGAACATATGAGACAATGAAAATGAAGCATGTCATTAATAGGCTTCCCAGCATATCATTAATAGGCTTCCCAGAAGCAGTCAAGACTGTTATTTCATCATGTCTCTAGCTTTTCTAACTTTTATCAGTCTGTTTTTAAATCTGTGAATGCATGCTGGGGCTTGTATGCTGCAGGTCCATGATCATTCTGTGTAGTTTGATCTTAGGCACTCAATATCTCATTAGGAATGGAATTAACATTTGCCATTAATCATTTCCCAAGCAAAACATGGATTTACTGTCTAGGGAAACCCAGTCGGGAAGAATAATGATGAGAAATTTATGCACTTTGTGCCAGTGTTTGCCCATTTGTAGAGAATTATTTTATGCAGAAATGCAGATATATACACTATATTACAAAGCCCATGTTTTTGCATAAAAGCTTTTCAAGAACAGGTAACAGAGAATTTTGCATAACATGCTCATTTTGCTTTAAAGAAAACATTTCAGAAACATTGTTTTTCAGCATTAAAATTGTATTCTTTTGCAAAATCATGTATTTTGTGTAAAATATATTCTTTTCACAAAATATATCTTATTTTATCTAGAGCCAGGGTTTTTGTGTGAGAACTTGTTTTCCAAACAAAAAGCGGTGCTTGGCAAAATCACTGAACATAAGCTTTTTTAAATTATTATTATTTTAGCCCCCGGTGGTGCAAGGGGTTAAACCCTTGTGCTGGCAGGACTGCTGACACCCTGTATCATCAAAAGTCCACATCACAAAAGTAAAAAAAGTACTGGAAATACTAGGAAGTAAATTGTATGCAGCCTACACTGGATTGGGTTGTTGTACGTTTTTTCAGGCTATATGGCCATGTTCTAGAGTCATTGACTCCTGACATTTCGCCTGCATCTATGGCAAGCATCCTCAGAGTATGTGAAGATGCTTGCCATAGATGCAGGTGAAACGTCAGGAGAGAATGCCTCTAGAAAATGGCCATATAGCCCGAAAAAACCTACAACAACCCAGTGATTCCAGACATGAAAGCCTTCGACAATACATCTACACTTTATGCGTTCTCCTTATCTCATTCTGGGAGGAGCCCCTGATGGTGCAATGGGCTAAACCTGTGAGTCGCCTTCGGGCTTGAGATACAGTGGTATATAAGCAAAGTAAGTAAGTAAATAAATAAATAAATAAACCCTTGTGCCAGCAGGACTGCTAACAAACAGGTCAGCGGTTCAAATCCGGGGAGAGTGGGTTGAGCTCCCTCTGTCAGCTCCAGCTCCCCATGCGGGGACATCTGAGAAGCCTCCCGCAATGATAGTCAAAACATCAAACATCCAGGTGTCACCTGGGAAACATCCTTGTACCAGAAGTGATTTGCAGTTGCTCAAGTCGTTCCTGGCATGAGCAAAAAAAGCTTGTTTTGCCGTTATTAGAATTCAGGAATTATTGTGAAAATGGAATAATTTTAAAATGTGCCTTGAGGCCAAGTTGTGGACTTTGGGGTTTTGATATGTACTCAAAATCCCAAAGTGTACATACCTCCCTGGATAACTAAATGGAACCAATGACTTCAACCAGTGGTCTTCTTGCTTTCTCCACTGAGCAAACCTCTCTCTCTCTCTCTCGTGTGTGTGTGTGTGTGTGTGTGTGTATGTGTAACATTGAACTTTTGTTTTGCAGCATATTTTGGGATGCTTATTGAGTTACCCTAGGAAACTGTCAAGAGCCATGGCTCATTGTGGGTTGCACACAATACATTTCATGCACGGTGGTATGTACTGCTAGGACCATTGTGGAGAACTAAAATGTTGTTCCGGTTGTTTGGTTCTTTTACCAGGTGCCTAATACATATTGAAGGAGCTCAAGATTCACATTTATATCGACTTATGATGGCAGGAGTACCATTTGAAGGATACTATATTGAATAAAGCTTGTACAATAACATAAGAATCATAGGAGCCTCCTTTGTGGGGGAGGAAGGGGATAGTTACTGGCTTTCCTTTCATCCACGCACTTAGTGACAAAATGCCCTCTCTGCTACACTCCTTGATACTTCCTCTTGGTTACTGCTTTCTGACAATGACACAGAAACATGGAAAATGAATACTCCCTATCCTTGGAAAGTGCCCTTGAAAGGATATAACTTTGAATGGATGCTCATGTTTTTCCCTTTTACAAATTTAATACACGCGGTGCTTACCACATTGTATAAATAGCCAATTCTTGCTTTACTTCAAAGGGCATTAACTTAAGTGTAGATAAGAAGAAAGGAATAGAAAAGGTTGCTTATTTTTATGTAGTTTTACAGTAAAGTATTTATTTGGATAATTTATATTGCTTTACCAGCTCACCAGGGTTTGTTTCAAAAGGAGGTGGAAAAGGAGAGAGAGGGATTGTTCATCGGGACTCTTCAGATTGTCTATTCCACCCCTTGTTCAGTGCCAAATTGCTTTAGGCATCACGTCATATGAACTTATATGTATTATATTTTTGGCAGTTGGGAAGGATACAAAATTGTATTTGTGGCAACAATTACAATTCCTTGAGGGCGAAGGCAAAAACAGGCCTTTGACACCTGTCCTTGAGCTGTAAATTTTCAAGGACACTTGAGTAAATCTGTTCTAACTGTTATTGGTTTTATGACAAAGCTCTGTGAAACCCTCAAAGAATAGTTTTGTGCTAGTAAAAAACAAAACAACCTTAGAAAAGCCATCTTCTGTTTCGATTCTTTGAGGCTTCGCCACTTGCCATTAAGATGTTTGCGTTCTTCTTGGTAGAGCATGTCCAAATAGTTCCATCTGGTTTAGTTAAACTCTCAGGAAGCAAACCTAGAGAAAAGTGGTGCCATGTTGCGTAGTGCTTGCACAACTGTTTTCCATATGAGTTGTGCCACTATTTTTTTCTGGCTATTTCCTCTTGCCAGGCATTTTTACCTGAGCCATGAAAGCCTCCTGTGTTGTGTTTCCTATAAGTTTTTTTAAAAAAACTTTCATCTTAGAATATGTATAGCTTAGAACAAATCTTATACAGTTCCAAAGCAATGCATGATGGATTATTTTCTGTAAGATTATGATTATGTTCCAAATAAGTTTTCTTTGGTATATGTGTCTTCAGATGTGCACCAATGGAATGGGTACATATCTGTGGTTCACAGGTAGAATATGGTGGAAAAAACTTATAGAAGCAATCCTAGCTTGTGTTTCATTTTAGATAAAAAAAGTGTCAGTCTCTTCTAGTTATATCCTTTTAGTAAATGTATTGTTTTGGCAAAGCTATCACCAAGGGAAAATTAGCAGTGTGCTAGTGACAGGTGAAAGTGTAAAGCAGAACGAGGAGCCTTTGGCCCATTTGTTCTTGGACTCCGAGTCCTGTCAGATTTGCCAGAATGGCCAGTGACCACGGATGAGGAGATTTACATTCCAGTAATATTTGGAGGGCCCCGGTTCTGGGGGAATATCAACTCTTGGATTATCTCCAGGCTGAGCCAATTCATGTTTGTCCAAATCCCATTTTTGGAAGCCCTCTACAAATGTTTCACAGAGAATATATGATTAATGTTGTGGAATGAAACCTGTTCATCTGTTGATGTCTCTTTAGAGGGCCAACTGAGAGTAGATGCCAATGTATCTGTGCATCGCCCTGGACAGCCATACGGAGTGAGGACCGAAGTGAAGAATATCAACAGTGCTCGATTCCTCGCAAAAGCAATAGGTAAATGAAGCACAAATTCCCAGTGGAAAAAATTAGAAAGACACTTTGGAGCGTCATTCCTTTTAACATTGTAATTTTTTAAGGTTGGACAAGATCTGCTAATACAATCCTGCTGTATATATTCTTTTGGTTTCCCAAGTGTGTGTTGGTGGCAGAATTTAGAAAGTTATTTTTGGCATTGTCTTGTACCTCATCAGATTGACCTTATAAACACAATTTTCAAATCATATGAATCAATTACAGCACCACTATCAATATACAAACAATTGAGATCCTGATGAACAGGAAAAAAATCACTATCAAATGTACAAGGGTTATCCAGAAAGTCAGGTTGCAAGGCATGTAGCTTTATGCTGCTAGAAAATATAGAACTGGATTCACAATTCTGGTTTAGACAAACCCAAACACTGCATAGAATCAATAAACAGTCTGCTGTGACTATAGTGTTGCCAGGTTTTCAAAGTAGCCATAAAGAGCAGCTGAAATTTGTTACATGCAGCCTTGATGGTCAGGAAGTAGCTATTAACAAGTTTGGGTTCTGCATAAATACCAAATGTAAGCATTTATTTCAATTAACCAAGCCACATGTTTCTCTGTAAAACCAACATACCTATACTCCTTTATGAAGGGTCCATGCCCCCCCAACCCAACCCAGAATGTCTTGGCCTTATATAAAATGAAAAGCTTTCCAACCCTCAAATAAGTGACAGTCCTTATAATAAAAGACACCTTCGAGCCCTATAAGTGATAACCCTTATAATAAGTGATGCCTGATGATTCTATGAGAGTAGTAACATAATTTTGAAGGTGCAGCTTGGAACTCCAGAGATTGGTACATGCTTTTGGAAACAGGTAGCTTCAGTAGAGAGCATAAGTAAGTATGGTGCTGCATTCCTTATCAGGCTTATGCCATGACTGTTGCTATAATTAGTAAGACAAAGCCACCTGTGTTCTACAATGGTCCTACAAACCATGAGTAAATATATGTTGTCATTCAGCTCCTCTCAGCCTAGACAGCACATTCAGTGGTGATAGATGACACAAATTTCAATCCAACAACATCTTGAAGGTCATAGTAGCCCACCCCAGCTTAAACTGTACTTAATTGTCTGAAATGAAGCATCTAGGTTTAATTTGTTATCTTCAAAACTTCAAAACTGCTGTGCCATCCTTTAATCTTATTACCTTATGTAATTATTTTATGGTGTTACCATGTGCATGCTAACTCAATATATGTATGCACATGCATGCAAACTGGTTTTACAAACATAGCACAGCTTCTTGTATGTGCAGCTTGATTGAGTCTGAACTGATGTTTTTATATGTGCATGTATTTTATTTTATTTTATCTTTTGTTCACTTTTATGTTTGTTTTTAAGCCATCTTTGTGCCATCTGTAAGCCGTCCTGAGTCCCTTCAGAGAGATGGTGGCAGGATATAAAAATAAAGTTGTTGGTGTTGTTGTTATTGTTGTTGTTGTTACTGTTGCCTTTGATTCCTTCTTGATGGTGTGATTTTGCTACCAGATCCCATTGTAAAAGAGAAAACAAAATGAATTGTAATTAATTATTATTTACTCTTAAGGCACCAGATCTCATCTGCAGAGGCATCTCTTGTTTCTGCTTAATTAGGGGACCACAAACAAATACCTGGTGCTGTATGCTATATTTCAGAGGAAGGAAGTGGCAAATCATCTGAGAATTCTTTGCCTAAGAAAACCCAATCAAATTTATAGGGTCACCATGAATCAACAGGCAGCTTGAAAGCACATACACACACACAGAGCTATCAGTTTGGTTGCAGATTAGCTTGGTAATATTTCTTTTATTGGAAATGATACAGGAGATACTGTGAGATAGGTAAAAGTTGTGTGACTTACAGAGAGCACGAATCTGGTTTGTGAGTATCACATGAGAGGCTACATATCCATGCAACTGGTGTGCTGGACTCAAAATAGAAATAGTACCATGGATGAGTATCAGTATATGATATGGGAAGGGTTGCAGTTCAGTGGTGGAGCACATGGCTTGCATGCATAAGATTTCAGGTTGTGTTCCCTGGTATTAACAGGTAAGAATGGGAAAGATTTCTGTATGAAATCCCGAAGAGCCACTGATAGCATAGCTTTCCCAACCATGTTGCCCTGCAGATTATTAGAACTGGAATTCCAGTTAAACTTAACTGATATTAGAAATGGTTATGGATTGTGGAAATCGTACTCCAAAACATCAGGTAAAGCTAGCATAGACAGTATGAGCACAGTTTAATGATGTTGCTTCCATTGTGGTTCTGCTTTAAATTAGGCAAAAATTCTGATCTCTAAGGCATCTTCTACACTTCCCCATAAAACCCAGATTATCCACTTTGAACTGGATTGTATGGCAGTATACATATAATCCAGTTCAAAGCAGATAAGGTGGATAATCAGCTTTGATAATCTGGATTATATGGCTGTGTAAAAGGGCCTAAGAGGTTTTGTGAGATAAAGGTGGTGATGACATTGAACAGTTAATCCCAGTCAATATAATGGCACAGTCGCTGTTTCAATTGTAGTGGTCCTGAATGTTTCAAAAAACTTGAGTACAAAAATTAAACCTTCTAAAAAGGTATAAATCAAGCATGTGCAAACTTTGGCCCTCCAGGTGTTTTGGACTTCAACTCCCAAAATTCCTAACAGCCTACTGGTGAGAGTTGAAGTCCAAAACATCTAGAGAGCCGAAGTTTGCCCATGCCTGGTATAAACAAACTATCATTTAACTCTCAGAGAAGTTTAGTTTCTTCACAACTCTTTCTTGGTAATAGGCTTACTCCAGTTTCAATGAGGCTTAAAAGTGTTCTTTACCTTCTTGCCTGGCACAATAGTTAAGGATGCAACATAACTAAACTGAGTTTTCTTGTTTCTTTAAGACTATGAAATACGAAGGCAAATTGAAGAACTAGAAAATGGTGGAACCGTTTTGAACGAAACTCGAACCTTTGATTTTAAGCATGGGTGAGTTTTTCATTTTACCATTTGACATATATATTGCTAATTATTCATCTTTTGTTTCCATCCTATAGACTATAGATTTTCCTCAGTAAGCAGAAAGCAACTGTCTGGATGCACACAAGATAAATTCAGAGCTTGGAAACATTATTTTGAACAAATGATACCTACCATAATCCCCTAGCTCTCTTCCTCCATAATGTTTCCAAGCTCTATATAAATGCCAGTTAGTGTCCCCTCACCTGAAGATGCTGGTTAATATGCCACACAAAAATCAAAGTTCATAAGCATTTGGAGATTTCCAAAAACTTGTGGAGCTTGTTCTTGTCCTGCTGCTTTTGTCAACAGCTGTGTTCATGGGATATATTATTTCAACATTGTAAAATTATTTGTTTTAATTGTGGCAAACTGATAACATTTCTAGTATGGGCAGTGTAAAAATAAATCTGTACATAAGGCTCTGGGAAATTGACGCTTCTGTTTTATGTTTTTTTATGTCCGATATAATAAGTTGTGTTTAAGTCTAATTCTAATTTGCTAAGTTATAATTTGTTTTTATATGCTGTGTCATTTAATTTTTGTTATTATGTGTCTATTAGTTCTTATGTTCAGGCATTGAGTGTTTGACTTTTTTGTGACTGGAATCCTCCCTGAGTCCCTTTGGCGAGAAAGGGCAGAATATAAATAAAGTATTTTAAAGATATTTTTATTGCAGATAAAAAATTGCTCCCTAAAGAAAGGAGCTTCCAGATAACTCAATGAGATAGAAGTAAATAGTTTATCTTATTACATAAAAAGAGTGGGAACAACGTATTTTAGGAAAGTAGGAAACTTGAATACCTAATTAAGTGAAAGAGAAAAAAAATAAAGTGGGGGGATAGAGAATTATTATTATTATTATTATTATTATTATTATTATTATTATTGCTACCTTTTCCCACTCAAATGACACATTAAATCCTCCTTAACAAGAATGACTTACAGCTATTAGCATTCTGCAGAAACAAGTATACTAACTAAAACCTTTTGGATATCATGCTTTAATTTTTAAAAGACTTGTTCTGTTTTTTAGGTGCACCATCGCAATGAGGGATAAAGAAGGAAAACAGGATTATCGGTAATTATATTTGGGGAGGGGTGAGTTACAGAAATGCAATCAGCCCCCCACATTTGCTGGGGTTAGGTTCAGAAGATCTCTCTGAAAATGGAAAAACCACAAATAAAAAAAACTTTTTTTTGACTGAGAAAGCATCACAACTCTACAGTTAACATCATAGAGTCATGGCGAAGGATCTAGAGCCGTGGTTCCCAACCTTTTTTTGACCAGGGACCACTTTGACCGGGGAGCACTCTCCAACATTAGTACCAAAGGGGTTACGAATCAGTTTTTGGTCAACTTTAGATTTGGTTTGGTTATTTGGGGTGCTCATTCAGAAAATTGCATTGGATAGACCACATCAGCTCTAGTTTCTGATACAGAACCTATGCCATCCAGTAGTTGCCATCTGCTTACCCACAGAAAACCATATTTAATAATCCAGAGCTGATGTAGTCTATCCAATGCAATTTTCTGAATCAGCGACCCCAGGACAGGAACAGACCTAAAAATGAAGACACATGGAACGGCTCTGCTCAGTGAGGGAAGAGGAAGAGAAGCAGTAGTCAGGAGGCTTGTTGTTGCTCCTTTTGTGGGTAGTCAGCCTCTCCCCTCCCAACATTCCTGTTGCCTCAGCACTATAAGAATGTTTTGCAAGACCAGACGCTCTAGTTGCAACAGTGTAGTAATGTTGAGGCTGCGGACCATCTTGCAGATCACTGGTGGTCCACGGACCATAGATTGGGAACTACTGATCTAGAAATTCCTATAGAGAACATACTAGTCAAATCTACAAATAATCAAATCCACAAAAGTGAAACCTGCAAATATGGAGGCCAACTGTACTCATGAAAACTAGCTACCAGATTATGCTTTTTCTGTCTTTTCACCTTTCTCCCCACCTTCATATCTTCTCAACTTGACAGCCATTCTAAGACACTTTTGTTGAAGGTCAGAAAATCTTAACTTCTGAATGGAGGCACCTGAGGCATAGAAAGAACTGAGGAACCAAGAGAATGATTCTTGAAAATCTGTCAGAAGCACCCCCTGCTTCTTTATAATCCCCTTTATCTCTCAATATATCCCAGCCTAACCCACTCAGGAGAGTCTTTTGACCTTCAGAAGTCATTGGAGCAGAGGGCGTCTGTTGAGGGAAGAAGAAATGGGACACAGTCCCTTTCTGTATGATTTTTTTCACATCCAGCACACTGTTTAAAATAAACTTTTAATTGAGCACATGAAAATCGCACTTCATTTTTATTTCAAAGACATCGCTAGACATTAATGTTGATGATGTGGAGCCAAGCATTACTATGTGCTTACTTTCCCCTTCCAGTGATACTTCAAAGTCAAGAACCTGAGGACAAATATTTATTTGCTGCCTTTTAACTAGATTTGCAAGAGGAAATAAAACCACTGCTTTACTCGGTTAATTCAATTACATTTTAACAAAATTTCTAATTGGTAACTGACAATTCCATGGGAAGAAAAATTGTAACCCATCTCTTATTGGACCAACCAAAAGGCAAAGAGTTTTCTAATCTGAAGATATATAATTCAGATACAGATTTGGGGATTCTGTATGTGAGAAAGTAAATTCTATGCCACTATATGATGTGAACTGGCTTTTAAAAAATATTTAACTCCTCCAACACCAGGTGAAGAAACCTCATTAGACTCGACTGACAGACTTTGCCACCATCTTTAATTATCATTATACCTTAGAACAGTGGTTCTCAACCCATGGTTTTCTGTGAGGGTCGCCAGGCAGTAGTGAACTATAAACATTTAAAAAAATGAAAACAAGAAATCACATTATTGCATCCTGCACAAAGATTTATTTGTGTAAACGTGTAACAATCTTTTGTTCAGCAGGTTAGTTTGTTGTGAGGTCCAGGCTCTTGCAGAGTTAACATTATTTTGAATTATATTATACTACAAAATCTATTTTTGATTAGTTTTATTTACCTTATTTAAAAATCTATTTTAAATGTACTGGGGTTGTGGGTCACTTTGTCTCCATAAAATGAGGTTGCAACTTGAAAAAGGTTGGGAACTGTTGCCTTACAATAATGTCAAACTCATTTTTATTGAAGGCCACAACAGCTTTATGGTTGCCTTCAAAGGACTGTTGAATCTATGGATGGAAAATCCGTGGATACAGAGGGCCAACAATAATTTGTTTTTATATAGTAGTTGGTGCTCTTTTGTTTTTACCCTTATGGGGACCCAAACTGGGTAAAAACCAATTAATTTTTTTGCCATTCTTCGAAAGAGGTCTAACTAAAATTGAACAGAAGTAAAGAGAAAGCCACTAAGATTTATTTGTGCTAGGATGTCAATTGCTTGTTGTAATTTAAGATGAAGGAGGGGGGAGCAAAACAACTATCTATATTTAATTTATGTTCAAAACTACAGAAATAGCACTCTGAATTATCCAACATTTGGATTACTGGAACATTTTGTGAGTTCCTTTTCATATGAATAAAAGGGGTTGTACTTCTCAACCATTTTGTTGAGTCACAATAACTTTTCTGATCCCCCTCCAGCTAATGCAATTTTACAGCATAAGTAATGCAGTAATGACCTCTTATGCTTTCACTCGAGCTGTGAGGATTACCCTGGAAGGAATCACACTGGAGCATTGCAGCACACCCAAATACCTGGGAGTTACCCTGGACCATGCTCTATTCTACAAGAAGCATTGCTTGAATATCAAGCAAAAAGTGGGTGCTAGAAACAATATCATACAAAAGCTGACTGGCACAACCTGGGAATCACAACCAGGTACAGTGAAGACATCTGCCCTTGCGCTATGCTACTCTGCTGCTGAGTACACATTCCCTGTATGGAACACATCTCACCATCCTAAGACAATGGATGTGGCTCTTAATGAGACATGCTGCATTATCACTGGATGTCTACGCCAACAGCAATGAAGAAATTATACTGTTTAGCCGGTATTGCACCACCTGACATCCACCAGGAAGTAGCAGCCAGTAATGAAAGGACCAAAGCAGTGACATTTCCAAGCCATCCCCTGTTCAGGTATCAGCCAGCACGCCAATGCCTTAAATCAAGAAATAGTTCTCTAAGATCTATAGAGATACTCACTGGAACACCTCAGCAAGCGAGAGTCCAAAAGTGGCAGGCTCAAACCCAGAACCTCAATCAATGGCTGATACCAAATGAGAGACCCCCCCCCCCCCCCCCCCCCGGGCACACAGAAGGCTGGGTGACTTGGAAGGCTGCTCTCTGGCACCACGAGATGCAGAACCAATCTTAAGAAATGGGGCTACAAAGTGGAGTCCACAACATACGAGTGTGGAGAAGAGCAAACCACAGGCCATCAATTGCAATGCAGTCTGAGCCCTGCCATATGCACAATGGAGGACCTTCTTATCGCAACACCAGAGTCACTCCAAGTGGCCAGCTACTGGTCAAAGGACTTTTAGTATAATGCCAAGTTTTTAAAACTTTGTGTTTTTTAAAATACATTAAGGCTGTACCCTCGGTTTGCTTCTGATACGATAAATAAAAAAACTCTGTGTAGCTAGTTTTGTGGCAATTTCATTAGTTCTTTATGTATTAACTAGCATTATCCTGTATGGCTGGTTAAACTGATTAATTTGGATGGCGCAGAAAAATGGCAGAGAAAAACACAGGAGGAAGTGTGCAAGAATAAATCAGAGCAGAACATATGGAGAATTTTACTTTCTGAACTGCATTTTTTGTTTATTTAAAGCTGGATTTCAACCCAATGGGTGCAGCACAAATGTACCTACTTCAAGGAATACATGCCAGCTGTTTGCAAAGAGAAATAACAATGTTGTAATTGTTTGACTTTTGCAAATCCACCATTTGTTCATGTAAGGCCAGAATTGGCTTTTTAATCTCCATGTTTTTATCATGGTTGGAATTGGCCCCCTCTTCAATTGAGCCCTTGTTCTTTGATGTTGTCACTCAGCTTCATTTGTTGTGGCACCCCACCGAAGATGACAACTTGGCTTTTAACGCAGCTTGCTTTTTCATTGAATCTCCTCAGATTAATACGAGGGAGGTTGCAACCTGCATGAAAACATTCTTAGCAGCTGGATGTCAGTCTTTCTTTTTCCCTTTGCCAGATTATTCTCCCAGTTGGTCTGAATTACAGGTCCCATTTGGCACTCAGAAGGATGAGTGGCATCTGCATTTTGTTTGTTTTTTGGGGTGTAAAATGTTTTCAATGTATTCTCTCCCCCCATTGCTGGCTGTTTTGACAGCCAGGGGGTGGATCATCAAAAAGAGCTCGAGGCTACGCCTTGGCACAGGGGTTTATCTATTGCTATTCAGAGTATTGCAGTTAAGTTGCATGCTCTGTGTTTTTGGTCTGGTTACATCAAGTTACATCATTAGCCAGATGAGTAGCAAAATTTGTTGCATGTTATTAGGATGTAGCAAACGGACCTAACTAGAAATAACACCAGATGAGCATCCTTTTGTTCTCTCCCCAGGTTTATGCCAGAGCCAAACCTGCCACCATTGATTCTTCATGATGCTAAATCTTTGCCGGCTCACGGAAACTCTCAGCAAGTGGTGGACATCGATCGGCTGCGGGAGACTCTTCCAGACCTCCCGAGTGCAAAAAGAGCAAAGCTTGTTGAACGCTATGGGATTCAGCCTCAACACAGTTTTACCTTATTGGTAGGTCTATTGATTCACCAAATAAACCAAGGCACTTCAAAGAGTTGGTGCTTCAGAAGACAGTCTTCAAACTGTCATTTTAGCCAGTTATTAACTCTCATAGATTTTTCTTAGGTAAGAGAGATGTTTAATATGCCTTTCTGTTTCTGCTTGGATGCACACAAATGTACTCAGAGTTTACTTGCTGTCTTGGTTGAGTGTTCATATAATATATAATAATTGATAGACATTATTATGATCATATAACTATTGTATTTAAAATTTACTGTGACATTGCATGGCTTCCGTTGGCGGAACCCAGATGCCTTAAAGAGCCAGACCCAAGAGTATGTCCAAAAGAATAGTTTATTAATACAAAACAAAAGGGACTCAGAGACACTTACTTCAGTGTCCCTGGTGAAAACTCAAAAGTAGCAGCAAGTTTCATCTTAAAAAGCAAACTATAGCAATAATCTGGATTATCCAGAGAAAAGATCCAGATTAAACTGAAGTGCTTCCAAAGTCACGCAAAACAACACAGCAAATGAAGGACGAACAAACAAAGAACTGTGAAGAAAGAGTCCGAAGAGTCTGAAGTCCGAAGTCAAAGAAAGCCAAGTCCGAAGTTGCGAGGTTCCAACGTCCACGTAGGCAGCATCTTCATCAAAAGCAGTCCAAAGTCAAGGAAGGGGAAATCTGCACTCACGAGAATCCAAGCCAAGTTGTAACATGAACGGAAGCAGCAACCTGCAGATCTAGGATCCATGAAAGCAGCAGCGACAAAACCCAAGGCACGAAACCAACACTTTGCCTTCTGCAAAGATCTTACATTTCAGTGCCTACTTTTATCTTACACCTCATCATCCGATGATGAGCTGACCTCCACCCCTTTGTTATCCCTTACAGCTGTCTTTGCTTCTGCACCTGAACGCCGATGCCCATCCCTCCAACTCTTTGACCTCTTGTCAAGACTTAGCTCTCCCCAAGACTCCACAGTATCTCCCGATTGCCAATCCCCACCACCAGAAAACCCCACAAACGTGTCACTAGATGTTGGCTGAGTACATACATCTCAAACCTCTTGCACCTTGGTCCAATCCAGTGTGTCATCCCCATCCCCATCCCTCCCAGACCCATCACTCCCAGAGAAACCCATGAAAGACTCTTCGTCTGTGGGAGCAGTAAGTATATCCCAGATCTTCTTCCTCTGTCGCTCCTCATCTGATTTCTGCTCCCGAGTAACCCTCTTAGTTCTTCTATTCACATCCACTGTATCTCCTTCCTCCTCCTCACTCATTGACCCTTTGCTCTCAGAAAACCCTTCTAAGGAATCTTCGTCGGTAGGTGACGTAAGTATATCCTGGATCCTTTTCCTCTGTTGTTCCTCATCTAGCTCTTGAGCACTCCTTTTCCCTCTTCTGACACCCATACTACCACTTGCAGTGTTCCTAACAGGCTCTACTACAACATCCGTCCCATCCTCCATCACTTTCCTTACCAGATGTAAGATTATGCCTAAGTCATCACTGTCACCATATGTGAAGGCATCCACTATCTTGCTGCTACCTCCAAAAGTGAGGACTTTCCCTTATCCCCACCTCTGTACGGATCTACCCCTTCTTCCCAATCCTGCTATCAGTCTTAGGTCCTTCTTCTGTCTCATAGCTGTGGCCACCACTGTGGAGGCCTGCAACGTGCCCCCAGGGTTCCTTTGCATTATATTGCACAACTTTAATCCCCATTGGACACCATAGACACAGTGTCTGAACCCAATCTTTATGTATAAAGTGTTCCCAGAGGACAAAAGTGTATGGTGTACAAAAACAATATTTATAGTAAAGGTAAAGTTTTCCCCTGGCATTAAGTCTAGTTATCTCCAACTCTGGAGGGTGATTCTCATATCCATTTCTAAGCCAAAGAGCTGGCGTTGTCCATAGACACCTCCAAGGTCATGTGGCCAGCATGACTGCATGGAACGCCTTTACCTTCCCACAGAAGTGGCACCTATTAGTCTACTCATATTTGCATGTTTTTGAGCTGCTAGGTTGGCAGAAGCTGGGCCTAACAGTGGGAACTCACTCCATTCCCCGGATTTGAACCATCAGCAAGTTCAGCCACTAAATATATTTGAAGGAAATATTTCACTCTCACACTCTTCTTTCAAAACTACTAACTTCTTCATTCCTAAATGTGACTCTCTTAATCCTAATCCTCACTCTGTCCTTCACTGTCATCCACTAGCGTTCAAACATTCTACCAACCATCTTTCATTTTCAAAACTCAATTCACTCACCCCTTTCTGGTAGCTCCTTATCCGATTACTTCAATTACACCATAGAAACAAAACCAAATTACCTTGATACAGAAAACAATATTTTACAAAAGGTCCATGACATCACAGTCCCCTACAAGACTAAGGTGCCTGGAAGTCACCAGGACGCCACTCAGCTGGGCTTATTATTATTCTCTCCCCACAATCTATTGCCACCACCTGCTTATTTGTGCTTTGTTTTATACATCCAGCTGTGAAATTGAGTGCAAGTATGTGGCAGCGAGATAAACTAACCTTTGTAGCCCCCAGATCAAAACATGCTCATGAATCAAAATCCATGAGTATATGTAATGGTGGAAAATAACAGCCAGGACCATCATTTGATACAGAATCACAAATAATAGTTCTTTGATACTATCTGATTCGACTCTATTTTTAAACCAGAATTTTAACCACCTTTGTTTCTTCTTCTCCCTTTCTTTTCATTCTCATCTCATTTATGTGTTTGATGACTACTGCTTTGGATTTTTTCATTTGTCACTCTGGATGGGAAATAGGAAAATGCAAATAAACATAATAACAGCTATGCTGGATCACATTGAAGAATTATATAATTCAGTATTCAGTTTTCTTATTGGCTCACCAGTTGCCCAATGAGAAGCCCACCAATAGGACATCAGAGCCATAGCAACACACACACACACACACTGCTTATGTTCCCCAACAAGTGGTATACACTGAAGCACTTGAGGGAATACATAGCTATTAAGATTTGTAAGCTACTGATAGCACCAGTCTCCAATCTCCCTTTAAAGCCAAATTGTCTACCATCACTACAGCATATGGCCATGATCAAAGCAATGCTTGATGAAGCAATATAAGCAGGGAGATTGGACTCAATACTGGTTAGCCCTGCTCCATTAGTATTTTGATGGGTCAACAACAACTCTAATGCAGTTGAACAAAAAGGTGATTAGAGACAAAAATGTTGAAATGGATGCATCTGACAACTTGGGACTAGTAAACATCAGGGTTTCACCACTTGGTATCCTCTATTTAAGAATAGCCAGTATTGTCAACAATATCTTCAAGACTTAACGTCTGTAGCCCTTAGAAAAGCATTTACAGCCCTGTGCTTTCAAACAATGCAATCTGTCTAGAGGAAAGATATAGAGGAATCCCTCATGCCCAGCGTCTTTGTGGGTCTGAGGAAAAAGAGGATTTAATACACTATCTGTTACATTGCCCTTTGAATAATGACCATTGAAACAATCTTCTGGGATCCCTTTTGGAAGAAAGAGCAGCATGGCAACAGTCAGCAGCTATCTGTGACTTGTTAGTGGATTATTCCAAAAATATAACATTAAAGGTTGCCACATTTGCAGTAGCCCAAATAATTTGAGCTAAATTAGTAAAGTCCACAGCAGAGGCTAGAAATGGAAATGGAGATCATTTGGGATGATACAAATCAGACATTTGTTGTTGATGTTGTTGTTATCATGTCACTGCTACTATAATTTTAAAGAGCCAGTATATGGAAAAAGTTTTAATATTTATATTAGAAAGGTGCTTATTGTACTTTTAAAGGTTGTATATTATGTCATGTCATGGCCTATGGCTGGTACAATAAACAATTCATTCAGTCATCTGGCCATGAAAGTTTAACTCCCTTTTACTACTCCTGAATATCCCATCATTCAATTTCATGGGATATGATAGATGAGAGGAAGAAACTCTTTACTTGTCTTCTCAATCCCCACTCTGCACTTTCCAAAGACATATATGACTATGGTATGATCATTGATACATAGAGACAGAGAGGACCATAATCAGTTAGCATACCACAGCCAGAGAGAAACAGAGGCTTATTTAGCATTCTTGCATCAATAAAGTACAAACTAAATTAACAACATATAGTATCGATTGGTTTGGAAACCTTTCAACTTGTGAAAAAAAATAACCTTTCTTAATTTACCCGAGACTTCTTTCACTCTACTAAATCGTCAGGTTTTGTAACATTTAGGCACAGCTTTGAACATTTGCTATTTTGAACTACTGTGTTAGGGATTCCTCATCTTCGGAAGAGGAAGGGGAGCAGGGAAGTGCTCAGGAATTGGAGGGAGAAGAAGAATCAGACGATGAGGGTTTGAAAGTGCCCACATTTCTAGAGAGATAAAAGAGACAGCACAGAAGGTGTTTAGCTAAAATAGCTGCTAAAAACGCTGAGCTAATTGGGAGATGCCCTAACACCTCTTGCATGGGGAACTCAGGGCTATAAATCAGAAGCAGTCAGCTGTTGCTGGTAATAACGATCCTGATACTGATGTTTTCACTCCAATGGAATTTCCTTTGTGTCTGCTGCTTAGGACTTAGTTCATTGCCCATTGTCTGATGGAAGACTGGTGTTTCTTGTGGGATTTTGTAAAATACTTTAATTTGTGTCTGGATTAAGACTTCCTTGCTTTCTTTTGCACTTTTCAATTGCATTTGCTTATCCTTTGTGTTTGCTGAAGTAAAGCATTTTTCTTTTACTTTCAACATTGTCTAAAGGCTGTTTTTGAAGGGCAACTCAGGACATACTGCTCCTCCCAGAAGCTTCCCTGCTTTGTTTTTATTGCCTTAGAAGGCTTTCTCTTCCTTGTCTTCAGCTACTGTTCTCTGAAAACTGGCATATTTTCAGATGGATCTCTCTGCCGGTGAAATTAGGATAAAGTAAGTCCTCCACTTCTCTGACTTTGCTCAGAGCCCC